CGGCGGTGGCCCGCCGGGGTGGCGGGGGTCGGGGTTGCCTGGACGGGGTTCGGGGTTGCCTGGACGGGGTTCGCTGCGGGGTTCCGGGCCGGTGTGGCGGGGTTCTGGGCCGGTGCTGCAGGGTTCCGGGGCGGTGTAGCAGGGTTGGTGGCGGGGGTCGCCGGGGTCGGGCGGTGGCGGGGGTGTCAGGGCCGGTGGCGGGGGTGTCAGGGCCGGTGGCGGTGGTCGGGGACCCCGGACCCGGGGCTCCGGGGGGGCAACCACCACCCCGGCTTCGCCCCCGGGGGTCCCCGCTGACATCCTTGAGTATGGGTACCATATAGTACGTCATCGTTGCGACCGCTTGCATAAGCTTGTATTGCGTATCGATATGAGTTAGCCTTGCGTCCGCGCGATTTTATACTGAGCCTCGCGCGCGACGCCTATCCGATTTTTGCATCAGAAAGTTATGGGTCGGGTACTGAAGGGACTAGGAGTGTTGTTGTGTTGTTGTGTTATTTGTTTTGTGTGTGAGTGTTGTGGTGTAACGCGTGGTGTGTGTGATGCGTCCTAGTCGACCGACGTCGAGTCGCGTTTGGGACCTCAGCCCCCCAGTGCGTCGATTCGCGTACTGGTTCGATTTTGGGCGTTCGACCCCGCGTAGCCCCCTATGCTACAGCGAACGAGAAACGCCCTCGGTTGAGCCACCTCTGCAATTGCATACGAAAAACATTCGCATGTGGTTCAGTAGCTCGGCGGGGATACGCCCACCCAAGGGATGGTGACAGCTCCCGCATGTGGAGGTAAGCGGTGCCTCTCGTGACCCTGTCCTGTCGTAGGGGCTCGCGAGAGGTACGGTTGGCGCACTCGGACGAAGCGGCAAACGCTCTTCGCGACAAGTCCTGCCAAATCCTGCGTGACGCGGTCGGGAGGGTCCCCGTGTGAGACCGATGCGCTCGACAACGGGCATGATAACTTATGTGGAATGAAATGACGATCATAACTTGGTCGGGGAACTTTGGACGAATGATTTCTCTCTGAAAGGTCCGTTCAGACTACGTCTGAACAACTCTAGGAAGTTGATACGCTTAGAAGACCTTTCAGGGGTTATTCCTGACTCACTTGAGTTTTACTCAGGTGCAACGCAGATATCGACTGAATGGATTTCGTTTTAGAAGGCTAGCCGAAAGCTTTTTCGGTACCATTCTGAGAGACTAAATGATGTTTTGAGTGACCGCTAGTGGGATAATGTCGGGATCATTGTGAAAAAGTTCATTTGAATTGAAGGTTCCCAGGGGCTAGACCTGGGTCCAAGTTTGATAAGGTTTTCCAGAGGCTATATCTGGTATCATTCCATCCACATATGATTAGTAATGATTTAAGGCTTCTGGGGGCTAAATCCAGTTTTGTTGTATTAAGTGAGGGCTTCTGGAGACTAAATCCAGTTTTGTTATTGTGTTGTTGTAAATTGTCGTAAAAGTTCCGGCTTAGTTCCGAAAGATTGTTGGAATTGTCGTATTGTAATCGTTGCTTTCACATGAAACTTTTATAAAAATCCCGATTTCATTTTTTATGGTGAACGACGGGGACGTCGTTCAATGAGGTCTGGGAATGTTGTCGGGGCAAATACCCTGACAACGGTATTTGCCAGGGGGTTTGAACATCGGACGTTGTCTAACTCTTTTGTTGAATTGAGAAACTTGATGAGACTGATGTTTGCTAAAAATTTTATTCAGACCAACCATGTGATTGAGATTTTTAAACTTTTTTACAACCTGACGTCGTTGACGTCCGAATGAAACAGCGGCCTGTTGGAGCAGCCCACTATACTGGGCGCGACCTGTTTCAGCCGTGCGATCTTCGAGATCGCGCGGCTGAAATCAGCGGCGCCGTAGATGGGCATGACCCCTATGCAAGAATGACACGTATAAATCGAGAAATGGTCCAAGATCACGATAGGGATTTGAACCCAGCTTTGTATCTCGATGTGCCATAGCAAGCCACAATGGGGCGTGACCGTTGGCAAAGCCATGGAATAACGGAAAAAAAAAAAAAAAAAAAAAAAAAAGTCTTTGCAGACTGTGTGGGAGCAGAAAGGCTCCCACTTCGTTTTGAACAGATTACTGTGGCCGCAAGATCTTGAGATCTCGCGGCCCACAGTTCACACGCGGAAAGCAAGATAGGGTTGGAGGAATTGAGTGGAAAGTGAAAGAGAGAAATGGGAGGATGGGGAGAGGAGGACCTGCTCCTCCCAACCTGCCAGCTGCCTCTCCGTTGTCAGGGGGCGTAAGAAGAAAAAGAAAAGAAAAGAAAAAAAGAAAAAAAAAAGAAAAAAAAAACGAAAAACGAGATCTGAGTTTTTTTTTTTTTTTTTGAAAAGTGGTATTTATCGGTTTGCGCCACTATTTTTTTGGTGGCGTAAAACAATTTTCTTGGCCTTGATTTTTTTTTTGTAGGTAGTGAGGCACCTAGCCCATGTGCATGAAGTTTTTAAGGTGTTTTTATTTATCGAATATTTTTCTAAAATTCATCAAAGTTGGGGTACTTTTTGCACCCCGTTCTGAGCCTGTCGGGATTTAAACTCGTGAATTATCACGAGTTATTTCCTTACTGCTCCCAACTCTGACAACTGTCCTCCCCGTTTTCAGGGGCTATGTTACTGCGCGTTCATTGAACGCGCGTTTCGCGTTCAGTTTATGAACGCAGTGAA